TTCCGGCCATCCTTAAGCCTGGTTCAGGGTCCACTTAATGTGGACATGCTAGTTCTAATTAGCAAAACACTAATTCGAACTAGTTTTTTAGTCTGGATCCGTTAGTTCGAATTAGCTTAGTTCGAATTAACTAATTCGAACTAAGTTAGTTCGAATTACCGTTGTAGTGTAGACATACCCTCAGAGACCAGCATATCACCCAGGGATACAGGGGTGTCACCAGTAATGGCTAAGCAGCAGTTCAGCAGAAAAGGACCTGGGGATTACATTGGATGAGAAGCTGGATATGAGTTAACAGTGTGCCCTTGTAGTCAAGAAGGCTAATGGGTGCATTAGGAGGAGCATTGCCAGCAGATCTAGAGAAGTGATTATTCCCCTTTATTTGGTTCGGGTGAGGCCACATCTGAAGTAGTGTGTCCAGTTCTGGGCCCCCCACTATAGAAAACATTGTGGATGCATTGGAGAGGGTCCAGCCAAAGGTGACCAAAATGATTAGGGGGCTGAAGCACTTGACCTAGGAGGAGAGGCTGAGGAATTTGGGCCTACTTAATCTTCAGAAGAGAAGAATGAGCCTACTTAATCTTCAGAAGAGAAGAGTGAGGGGGGATTTGATAGCAGCATTCAACTTCCTGAAGGGAGGTTCCAAAGAAGATGGAGAGAGGCTGTTCTCAGTAGTGATGGATGGCAGAACGAGAAGCAATGGTCTCAAGTTACAGTGGGGAAGGTCTAGGTTGGATATTAGGAAAAACTATTTCCCTAGGAGGGTGGTGAAGCACTGGAATGAGTTACCTAGGGAGGGGGTGGAATCTCCATCCATAGAGGTTTTTAAGTCCCAGCTTGACAAAGCCCTGGCTGGATTGATTTAGTTGGGATTGGTCCTGACTTGGGCAGGGGGCTGGACTCAATGACTCCTGAGGTCTCTTCCAGCCGTGGGAGTCTATGATTGTATTGTATCTACCTTCCATCAGACTGCAGTAGCCAACTGGTGTGGGTCTGTCACACAGTGACCTTTATATTACTATATGTTTATGAAACACCTGATCTCTTGTACTGGTTGGCCCGCAATATCAGCAAGAACTGTTGGAGATATCACTGCTACAAATGTATACTATAGCTTTCATCCTGAATTTTGTTCTCGTCCAGCTATTTAATTATTTGTACTCTAGTACTTCTTAGTCCTGCAAAACCTTTCTGTATGACGAATATAAATGACTCTTTCCTTTTTAGGGACAGGGTTCTGTTATCTGGAGAGAGAAAAGATGTACCAATGCCATCATAATGACTTCCTGATAAGATCCCTCACTCTTGGGGGAAGCACCAAGTTCCAGCAAGCAATTGCAAAGAACTGTTAGTTTCCTGAAGCCATTTGTCCTGAGTCTGTTTGACTTTTCGAGATTCCGCCTCCTAGACAGCTCTGTTGTTGCAGGTTATTTGCCCAGGCTCACTGGTTAACCATGTACACATTTACACCCACATGTCTAGCTGCAAGGTTGCTTTTAGCGGCTGTGTTTGAATTCTGATTCCAAAGAGGAGGAATGTCCATACTTCTGGTTTCATCCTGCAAGGGCTTTGCAAGCGCACCCTGAGGGCTTGGGATCTTAATTGTCTTACCAGGCAAAATAGCCAAATAAGCCTACGGGGCTGATGCATGGCAGCTGTGAGGCTGCTAGTCACGGTACTCATTGTCAGGCTGAAGAGTGTAACAATGAAATAAATGCTCTTCCTGGAAATCAGCACACAGAATCTAGCGCAAAACTGGATTAGGATTGTCTGGAACCCTAATGCACCACAACATGAGGATGGATACCTTGTGGCTCTGCCCCTGTGGCACTGACTGCTCCTGCTTAGTGATGGCTGGGGACCCACTTTTCTCTCAGCGAGCTGGGGTAGTGGGATGGCGCCCCATTCTACCTTTCATGAGCAGAAGGGGGAGTATGCATTCCGCCTTTGGGTGGGAGAAGGGAAACAATACTTACCCCAGCAGCTGGAGTACAGCTGCTTGAATGGTGTGAGGGGCAGGCCCAATGCAGTCTTCTACTGCCCGACAGAGTTTTCTATTGGAGTGGACCATCCTCACAACAATGGATCTTGAAGTTAAAACTCTCTGGAAATGCATGGGAGGGCTCACATCTCTCATAGTTACTGTCTCTGGCTGGCTGCCAATTCAAGTAGACATTGCTGCATTGCTTATATTTGGTTCACATTTTCAAGTTTTCCCCTCACAACCACAACATTCAGAAACATACTGCTTTTTAAATAAATCAAAGCTTATACATGTGAGTACATCCCAATCTGAGAGCTAAAGCCCTACCCACTAAATTTTTATAGTGTCTTAATCTGCCCTTGAACTGATATAGTGAAAATAAAAAAAGCCAATAGCTTCTTTGTTGCAATATATATTTTAATTCAAAGTGAATCTCAACAGTAATACACCATAAATTCTTATTTTGACACTCACCAAAATAGTCACCTTGAAAACCCGCTTTGTGTGACAAAGTACAGAAGGCTTGGTCACATTTAAATCACTGAGAACTAGAGAGAAATACTATCGCAAACTGTAAGAGACATTACATCCATAAAAATTTTTCCCAGTCCTCGTATTGTAATATTGCACAGTGCAATTGCTACATGGCAAACTAGTGTAGCATAGAAACCAAAAAGCAAAACAAACAAACAAAAACAAAAACAAAAAACCCAAACCAAAAAAAAGTCAAAGTCTACAAATTGTTAGACAATAACAATTCAAACATAATAATCAAGTCTATATCCTTGGGTATTTTTAGAACAATCATCCTACAGCTTGCAGTGTGAGTTAACTTTTACTTAACACAAACCAAGTTAAAATTACAAATGCAGAAACATTTAAAAATTTAAATCAAAAGAATTAGTTAATACAGTAGAATATCTGATTACTAAAACACCCTGAATTACAGTTAAAAACTGAATATAATAAATTCATATAAAATAATTTGCAAATTAAAATAATATGCAAATATGCACTTCTGTAGTCCTGCAGTGTTTTATTTAAAAAAGGCATTAAAACTATCTGATGTGTATGCACTTCACTGATGAGAGATGACTGTTTCCACAGATTTAGGTGCCAATCCTGAAAGCAGTTCTACACAGATGGACCGTTGGCATCTGTGTAAAGTCTCACTGAAGTCAACTTGACTCCACATGGGTGCAGGAGTCCACTTTCATGGAGCTCATTGCAGGATCAATACCAGAATCATTCATTATTCAGAATTTAGGTTGTGGCAGAATCCTAAACATTTTGTTCTTTGAAATTCAAACTCATTTCTATTGTTACAAAATATAAACAGCAGCAGGTTTAATTTGGGGCACACTTACAGTTACATTTTTCTTGTGAATTTATAGGATAATCTTGTGACCTACAGGAAAACGTGTCAATTTAACAAGTATATTAGCTTTACATCCTACGTACAGTAACGAGTATAGTAAATACATTAGAGTAATGGAGATTCCCATGGCCCCAAATAAAGAGAACACAGTAATTGTTGTTACAATACAAAAGTCAATTAATCCTTTTGTGCTGGTGGTTCTTGGTATGTCCATTGCCTGCAATAAGATAACACCAAGAGAACTCATTCCCAACACCAAGGTATTAACAGAGGATAGGAATCTGCTAGAACAGATAATACACGTCTGAAGTGTTTATAAGATGAATTTACTTGAGTATTTTCTTGACTCCATATATTTAGACTTTATATATGTGCTGAAAAGATTTCAAATGAATCAGGCTACTCCTAGTTTCTAATGTATACTGTATATATACATTTATATTTGTACAAAATGCATAGAGTTGATTACTAAAAACACTGAATCTTGTGGGAAAATTAATTTCTTTTTCAGTGTGATTAAAAATGTACTGCTGGTATTGGTTTATGATGTAACACTGTTGTATTTCAGTTTTTGTTATTCAAAAAATATCAAATATAGGCACAGTTATTTCATTTGGACATTCATTAAATAAAACACTGCTTATGTTAATGGAGTAAAGAAAAAGTCTACCAGTTATTAGCTTATTGACAGAGTTAAACATAAATGCTTAGCACTCTTATTCCAGTCAATGCTGCAAATATTATATTCCAGAATATTTTGTTTAAAAAAAAGTTAAGTCAAGCCTGCAAGATACAGATTCTTAAATGTCTACACAATGCCAATATTAAAACATAAAAAAATTAAGTTACATACATACATCCACTTATATGCAGTGATGAGCCCAAAGTAAATGGAGATAAAATACTGGTGCAAACACCCCAAAATAACATATTCAATTAATTTCCATCATTTACACATTATAGTAGTTACAACACTCCAAACATAAAAGCAAAATAAAAATTTAAAAAACCCACTTCTATTTCATGTAATTAGACTTATACGGAAATTAGAAGGCTAAGAAAGAACTACTTAATCACCTAATTTCACAGCTATCTGAAGTGGCAATCATGATATAGCAGCTTATCTATGATACATTCAAGATAAATGATACAATTTATTACTTGCCCATAAGCTAACACACAGCCTCTTTAATACCTTCTTTAAATCCCATCTCTACACTACAGTATACTTGAGGTCTATGAAAAAAGTAGCTACCTTTTATAGGAAATGGATGATTAAGTCTTTGGTGCTGCAAAAACAACTTCATTTGAACAAAAACAAAACAAAAAAGACAAACTTTCTAGAAAAAAACCCCAAAAAGCATGTAATTTACGTCCCTGACGGAATGTATTAAATAAGCAAACACCCCAGCAAGCTAAAACAAATACTATAATGAAAAAGGCTAATATCTCTCCCGTGCATAAATGAAAAACTGCACACAAAGAACTCACATCTTTTCAAGCTTCAATAATAAATATTCTGTTACTACTTATTAAATACTGCATGGTTTGCTCAAGCAAAGATGAAATCACATCATGAATCAATGAGCATTTTGCTTTTTCTTTCATAATCTAGTCAAAGTCATGCCTACTGCACCCTTAAACATGTTATTAAATCCAATTAGACATAAACACTTTGAAAATATATTACTTAGATTGTATTTCAGTTCCATTTAACAGTATAAAATACTGTCTCGTGTTTGTCACTAAAAGCTACTGAATCAACTTTTCTTAAGCACTACTAAATTCTTCAGTTGAAGCTAGATCATTCTGAAAAAATCAGATAGCAAAATTCAGCTACAGCAAACATGCTGCCCCTTTGACAAGGAAAAACACCAATACTAAAATCATACCACACAAAACTCCAAATGAGCGTTACTCTATCAAAAATCAGAGATCTAAATTTTAAGTGCTGCAGTCCTCAAACATGTATATATAACTAATAACATTAACAACCTCAAATATTTAAGGCACTATGTGTGGGAACGGTTTACAATGCAGCTGAGATTATTAGGACAACAACATTTAAGAGCAATGTCTAGGCAACTCTTCTTTGCCCATGCAAAAGACACATGCAATGTGAAGAACAGCTCAACTTTTTAGATAAGTGACTGAACATTTAAACATCGAGATACATAATACAAACATTTTACTTGTACACTGTACTGCTGACATATGTGCATCTGTTGTTCTAAATCTGTGCACTGAATGGCTTCCCAAATGTAGATGTGTCTTGCACTAGTTAGAAGGCAATTTTATAAAAAATAGCAGGAGCAAAACTGGATTTCTGCTCCAGTAAGTCACCTGTCTGGAGTTACTATATAAGAAGATAAACATGACCAAAGATACAAGTTATACCAAATGTGCAAAACACATTAAAAGTGAGTTTTGTTTTGTTATTTAAAGCTCAAAGTTGTTGAAATTGCACCCAAGTCTACATGACTCAAAAAATAATTCTCTTGTTGTGCCATGGCTAATATTTATTCAAGACCATGTTTCTTCTCAAATCAAATGGTTGCATCATTGAGCTTCCTCTACATACTGTACTTGAGTTCTCACATAAATGGATACTGGCTGAGTTTGGTTGGACTCAGGGGAAATCCTGTGTAAGCTGGTGATGCTGCAATGTAAGAATGTGGCGGGAAAATAGGTTTGTATTGAGTCTGATGAATGGTTGGGGAAGGTAAAAGCCGGGGATTTATGCCCACCGGGACTTGAACTATACCACTGTGATGAGAGATGTTGTAGGTTGGATGCTGTAATATAGGTCTTGAGGTACATGATGAAGCTAAGAGGTGGGCTACAGGTGCCGCAGTACTTAGGGGTGCAGATGATGGATATGGAAGAATAGCAGGCTGTCCTCCAAGGTGCGTGCTTCCAGCTAAATGTGCATGCAGCGTAGTGTGATTTGGACTTCCCTGTGGAAGGGAGAATGGATGACTGGCAACACCAGCTGGAATGTATGTCTGCTGTCTTCGATGACTGTAGTTTCCATTCCACTCCTGAGGCCCAGATCCAAAGTGCTGAACCTGTCCATGCAGAGAAATTGTTGTATGTTAATTTTGGAGCACAGCTAGAGTATGAATTCAAACTGAAGAAATGTTTAAAATTAACAAACTTTAAATTCTATAAAGCAGCATTTTCCAAACTATGGGCCGTGGCCCGGTACCGGGCTGCGGGAAAAAAATACCGGGCCTCAGCATGCCTGGTGGCTGCCGGCAGTGCCAGCCTTAGGCCGATTCGGGCCCCGCGCCCCTGAACCCGGAAGTGCCGGTGAGTTACAGAGCCAGGGGCCCTGCTCCACCGATATGTGGAGCTGGGTCACTCCCCTGGTCCTGCCTGGCGCGGGCATGGGTCCCCCGCCCCCAGAGCGTCCCCGCCGTGCGTGGCTCCTCCTCACCGCCTGCTGCTGCCATGTGCGGTGTTGCATGTGGGCGGGGAGGACGCCCAGGCGTGACGTGATGTCACGGCCCGGGATTTTAAAAGTCTTTGGAGGCATGTGATGGGGCCACGCTGGCTCCGGCGGCCTCAGGCCCTGCAATGTGGAAGGCAGAAGGTAGGGAACAGGCTTGGGCTTAGGCGGAGGCAGAGGTGGAGGCAGCGGGCTTGCACAGAGGGGGAGGAGTGGAAGGAGAAGGGGCTTGGGAGGGGAAGGCACCAAGAGACAGGGTGCAGGAGAGAGAGAGAAATGCCAGGGGGCCAAGTGCAGACAATGAGGGAAAGGGCAGGAGGGGAGGTGTCAGTGGGAGGGGGAACAGGGTGATGCTGGGAGAAGAGAGGAGAGGAGAGGGGAAGGGCATTGGGGGCTGGAGAAGGAGGTGCTGGGAGAAGGCTTGAAAGAAGGGGTGGGCATGAGAGAGGTGGGGATGGAGCAAGTCATGTGTGAGGGCACGGGGGGCAGGAGGGGATAGGGCAGAGAGTGCTGAGGGGGTGGGTATCAGGGAAAAAGAGGGCAAAGGGGGCAGGGGCAGTAAGGGAAGGGGGAGGCAGCAGTCATGGGC